TACACTGTTTTTTTACTGTAAGTCTTGTGATAACACCCCCTTGCGACAACATTTCTCTTACGTCACAGTGACGTAGTGGGTGCAAGAATTGTCATTTAAATATACAACTCTCTTTACACACCCGTTCGTTATATTGAATACAATTCATTGTCAATGACATAGTCCCCGTCATGTTTTTGTAACTTTGTCAAACAATGAAAAGCGGCATAGTCCGATTTAGTTTAAATATTGGGATAGTATTAACACAATGCTTGATCAATAATCAACATGCACACTGGTGCCATCAAGTTATTTTCACTGATTGGTTAATTAGGATTCATAGAACACAACATAATGCTTGATCAATAATCAACATGCACACTGTGGCGCCTTCGGGCGTGCCTAAAAATAGTTAATGACATGTTCAAATTTTGCAATTTAATTTGTTTTTCATAAAAAAGGCCGCCATTACACTAAATTTCATTGCAATCCAAAAATAATTGAAAACAGCAACATTTAACCCATTATACATGTATCTTGCCTTTGTGCAACATTTAAACCTAATCTGTAAAATCGTCTCACTCTCTGTAAATGGACAGAACACTAATAAATAACAAAATGGCCACCACTCGGCTATTTTGACAAACAATGACGTGCACCAGTAACCCACTATGACTGATGTAAATGCCAAGTTTGAACGAAATCGGTAAAGGCATATTCAAGAAACGGTTGATGATATGTTTGAATTTTGTGATTTCATTCATTTTTTTACGAAAATGGCAGCCATTCGGCTAAATTTCGATGAAAAACAAAAAATAACTGAAAACAACATTTGACCCATTATATCTTGCCGTTGTACAAAATTTAACCTAAATCTGTACAGTCATCTCTGTAATATGAGCAGATCACTCGTAAAAAACAAAATGGCCACCAGTCCGCCATTTTGAATCGAATCACGAAAGAAAATGACGTGCATCAGTAACCTGCCATAGCTGATGTCAATGCGACGTTTGAATGAAATCGGTCAAGGCATGTCCGAGAAACGGTCCAAATGTTGATTTTTGGTGTTTTTGGAACAAATATGGCCAACCATAGGTTGGCCAAATGTCAACCAAATCAAGAATAAATTGGTGTGCACATGTCTCCTGCTATGACTTGTTTTTGTACCAGATTTGAAAAAAAAAATACCTGTCCAGGTGTCTCTGAGAAATGATGACGGACGCACGGACGGACAGACACACGGACGAATGGAACCCAAAACATAAGTCCCCGTTTCGGAATACGTCCTACGGATACTAAAAAGCAAATCTCCAGCAGTATTTCATCGACGGGTGGTTACAGCTCAAAACTGTGACATAACCGCGATGTGAACCATATAGGTTAGGGCGCGACTTATAAGAGCGTTGTATTCCAAATATTTGTTCAGTGTTACATACGAAGCAAACTCATTGCAAATTAACCGTTTCTCCTGATCTCATTGAAATACTTTAAAACCGTCGTCGTTCATGACGTAGGTATGACGTAAGCGCCTCGGATCGGATTTCGCGCTTTCCTCGTGTGTCGCACTTAATGGAATCTCCCGTATACCCGGAACTCCCAAGTGGAGGAAAGGGGTTCTCTGAAGCAAGCTGAAGTAAAAAAAACGCGTAAAAGGAATGTTTTTTAGTTATTTGGCGCGTATACGCGTGTACCGTGTTTAGGGTCGAATATTTTAAAACATATTAATAATGTGTGAATGAGGAATATCAAGAATTCATGTTACCTCAACTTGGAAACAGTATGATTTTAGTATGTATATAGGGTATCTATTTCTTTCTGCTTTTGAAAGAGAGTATAATTCCACAAAAATAAGTACGTGTTTAAGGGTTTATTTGACTTGTAGGACTCCCCCCCCCCCTTAGGACCGAACTTAGTTCACCGCGTAAATATTGACACTTGTTCATCGCACTTAGTGTGTATTTACAGAGCGTTTGGTTATTACAGTATTATAGCAGTAGAATAGTTGTTTTATATTGACGAGAAGAAACATTTTGATTTTAGAGTAGACCGGGCATGAAAATGATTGTTCTGCGGGATCCCGATGCACTTACATTGAGAGCACACTTTACGGGTTGTAACGATGTTGTGGTAGGTTGTACTAGAACACGTGGTCTGGTTTATTTATGATTGATTATAGTCAAGGCGAATTACAGTATTTTTTATTTATTTTCAGTCAATAAAAATAGTTATAAAGCGCTAGTATATGTAACACCATAGAAGGTAGTTTCCATGGTAACACAAATGCGCTACATGAGTAAAGTCCGCACGAAATGCGTTTGAGAATACATATTTCATAACACAGATCATTCATTTATTCAATCTTGCGTCTTTGATGAATATCAAGTGATATGAAAGCTGAATATAATTCTCTTCAAGTTATGTCTTAATTTTACCGAAGATAAATGCATGTTTTCCTGAGCCTTGCGGGAAATAAACTTTACACGTCCTGTCCCGACATTTGAAGCACAACTGAAACGCAATCGTATTTAGATGTAACATGCCGCATTTATAAAATAATTCAGCGAGAATACACCTCATAAGTTTCGATTTTCACGCAAAATTGGCAAACATGCCTTTATAAATAATAATGAAGTTTATAAACCGCGTGATATGCTGTATAAATATATAACCTTTCAGCAAATCTGCACAGCTGTATCGGGCAAACAACACAACATATATTACTATCGCAATTCGCTTTGTGCTTGTCGGAGTTGAGTTCGATTCCGTCAAAACTATCCCACAATTCACTATGATTTGGAATTGCGATATATGGTCCATATCCATTACCTGAGCCTCAAGTTCCAAATCTCTGCATATAATCTCATCTTTGTCCAGTTGTACGTCATCAAAATTAAGTAGCACGTGACCAAGCGCGTGACGTACACGTCTTCTGTCGATATCATACACAGATAATCGAAGAGTCCTCTTATGTATATCTTTCGAGCCAACCTGTAAGACAAATTTAATACTATAAACACGTGATGTCTGACCTCGTTCCAGGATTGTATATTTATTTGGCCTTTTAAAAGTGTGGAAATAATGACATACACAATGTAGGACATGTTGTTCACATACAACTTTGTTTGGTTGTGTAATTGTTTGTTATATAACAAATCTCTGAAAATCAATGTTTGTTATAAATGGGCGTCGACTCATCTAATCATTCAACTTGATGAATGGCATTCTTTAGTTTGTACCCAATTACGTCACAGGAGATTTTGAGGGCGTAAAGTGAATCTACATGCCAAAGTTTATTAATCTGAAAGAGTAATACCGAGCAGTATGTATTATTTTGTTATAGCCGTCAACTATTAATATATCTTTAAGGAATTCTGCAGCCAATTGCTAACGGTGTTATATATTCATACAGACCTCCATATCCACCGGGTTGTTTTCGATACACGCAATTCAATACCATTGGCACATTGCTTGATACCCTAGTACTGACCGTCCTATCATAGCCTACCTGGAATATAAACGTTTCATTCCATACAGGCACATGAGTTCTTCGACGCACTTTGGATTGTTGACAATTTCTCTCATCAGGCAATAGGTATAATTTAACGAAGGGGTCCCGAGGTGTGTTGTTACGTCCCCGTCCGGGTATGTGCTTGGCTTTCACCAACCGCACTGAAAGTTGTTCTACGACAGCGTCATATACAAGCGAGAACCACAGTCTCCCGTGTGGACTTGGAGGTAGAATATCATCCTGGTCGTAATCGTCTGTACATCTGTGAAATGGAACAATTCATACAATATTGAAACTTATACGATGTTTTGTCACGTGACTTATTGCATGGGTATATGCTTAGGCTGCATGAGTGATAAAATGCAAATTAGTCCTCGTGCCAACTCTTTTTATCATTCCCCGTTTATTCAGAATTAACACGTTTGACGATTCGCCGACGCAGAACATATTTTTTATAGAAACTGAACAATCAACATTTAGTGAGAAGTAACCCGTATTTCAATCGGTTCTTTCTATATTTACTACGTCGTAAATACTGGGTAATGTACTATACAAATAGTGCGTAGATACTAGCAGAAGAATAAACAGTAAAAGACGGCGTAAACTCTTTTGATCGTGTATCTTTCTAATAGGAAACCCGGTAGCACAGCGGTAAAAGACATATATAGCTTCCGTTGCACTGCCAGAAAAAGTAAAATTTTAACGCCGAAAATCTTAATTATGAACCACGTGACTATGTCGTCTACGTCATTCCCTTGCCGGAGAGAAAGGAACGTATGATGAGTTTGCTTTGCATCGTTTGATAGGTTTGTCGTTTGCCAGTGTACGATTAGCGTTTGTGGCAATTTGTATCTCTACTACACGTGCGCTTCCGGGAACGATTCCCAGATTGTATCGTTACTTCACAATGAATCGCTGGGATTTTCTAGTCATTACCATCCCTTTAACCTTAATGTATATCTATCTAGAATACACACTCACTTCCCATATGTCTGGGTGTAAATGTTAAAAAATGGATTCTCATTCGGATACGTAATATTGGCATACATAGACGTGAGAGTATCTCCTTGCTCCATTCTACGTCCTGGAGTCTACATCACCCCACAATAATTATGATAAACAAAACCATACCAAATGTATTCAAATCGTAGACAGATCGGTGTGATTAAGAGATCATTAAATGTGGTATATATTTGGTATATATAAAAGAGCTATAGTCGTCACGCAGCGCGTGTTCGAATGTCATGTTAACAAACAATGAGTTCCATATCGAACACGAAGCGATGCGACGACTGTGGCGATTTAATCATGTGGTAGGCGAGACGTGGCTGGCATGGCGGGGACAAATGGGTGATGCATTCGTTAATGCCAGTGTTACCCTTCAAATCAGATGATCCGTCTTCGTCCCTCAGTCAAATTCCTTCAAAATCTTAACGAACAAAGCTTCCTGTTGAGTTGATTATAACAAACTACTCGTTAAGTGTGCATTTTTACATTACATTCAGACATATATGCAGGACTCCCCATAGTTTCCATTACCTGTTAACGTTGGTTTGTTTGACCTGAGCTGACGTAGATTTGGTTTATGGCGTCTTGTGACCTATGTGAGTCAGAGAGAAAGGTTCTTGCTATTTTCTTTTTTCTTAAGGGTAATTACAAGGCTGTATGTTGGCTTACTGAATATCTTCCCTGAAACGCGTAAAACGTGTGGACGAAAATAGAAATAATAATAAAAAGAAGAATCGGAGTTTGAAAAGAAATCAGTCACCTTTCCGCACTTAATATATAATAGCCTGTTTAGTCTGTTACATGACAGCAGACATGAACAGCAACAATTTAATGCCCAATTATTGTACAAACTAGCGTCTGATGTTAGTTCACTGATATAATCTATTTACATGAACACTGCAATTATTACATTCTGTCTTCACGCTATTATACCTTGCAGTAGTGGTGAGTTGTGGTGATTACCATGGATGACACCGATAACCTAAAAACACGATTGAAACTAGACATCACAATAACACAGTGCATTCAAACGTGAATAGGAGAGTGGCTTTCATGCGTTTTAATTACTAATTACTGTTTCTTATAATGTAAAATTTGTATTTTTCTGCGAGTTCAAGTTGTTTTTGACCTTTTTCTTACTTTCGTTTTTTGTTTGTATCTTCGTGATTTAGTAAATATCGGTGTGAAATACACTGATGTCATCGTACTGGGGGATTACACTAATATACTTTGTTGGTAAAATGATGATATTCCCATGCTTTAATTTACTGTTATTAATATTAATTCATTTTGAAAAATGTTTTTACTGACTGTATTTGGTGATCCGCGGAGTTTTGTTTAATTAACTGTTCCAAAAACGTTTGGAAATATAAATATATTTTAAATATCTTATTTTCCGGGGTATTTTAGTTCTAAACTTTGCACATTCTATATTGTGAAGTTGAAAATCCAATTTACTATGGAATAGAATTTCTTTCTCGTGTTTCAATGAAAATTCGCTAATCAGATGGTCATCTGTGGTCTTTATTTCCCCACGTATTATGGGTGTAATAGTGTGCATAGACAGTTTTAGGGGTGACTGAAAGTTAACTAATAAAGTGTTTTATTTCCTATAAAAAGTCATTTGTTCTCACACTTTATGCGGTATTTCCAAGTATAAATTATTCTTCAGTATAAATTATACTTCCGTATGTAAATCATTTCATTAGCAGTAGATATGTTTATTAGTATAAGGCTTTGTAAATGGTAAATTCTAGTACTGAATGCTTCTTTTAGTGAATAAACTTTATTAGTCATTCAGTACCGAATATGACGAAAGTAGTCGCATGGACTGTACTATTGTGAAACTATGCAGTCAAGAAAAAGAGGGAAATTTTAGCAACACGTGATATGTCACGTGGCCTCATCCTCATTAATTCGTGCATAACTAGGAAACATATTTGACATAGAAACGTCAAAACAACCAATTAAGCACCCACTTAGGAGTCGAGATGAAAACAAGACAATACACCAGATGTGAAACCACCCGGGACCAATTGAACCAAATCCGGGCAATCTAACCATAAGCGACTAGCTAGTTAGTCCCTAATTAAACTCGTTGTCCCGCGTCATGTTGTTTGTAGAAAAGATTCCGGTAACTGCTCATAACAGTCCCCCAGTGTTGACCCGTGCCTGCAGGCCATACGGAAACGATGTGTATGCCACGGAAACAATATCCTGCAGGCCATACGAAAACGATCTGTATGCCACGGAAACAATATCCTGGCCCCTGCCAAGCTTAGGCTTGTAAAGAACTTCTTTTATAAACAGTGTTTTATGCTTAACAACTAAAATGTTATATTATATATTATTAATTTATGCAAAGCAGGGGTAAAACTGTCGGTTCCGTGTATTGTTTCTTTCTCAGTGTACGGAGAAGATGCAGTTGTTGCTAAGAGTAGCGGTTTTCGCGATGACTGACGCATTGCACTTATTACATGTGTAAGTTTGTGTTGCGGTGTCCCTATTTTTCCAGTAAGATACGTCTTCAATTCGATAATGTCCTAGATTACATGAATAAACCAATTAGGCATGAAGATGGTTTGTTTGTTTGTTTAAATAAATAAATAAATAAATAAATAAATAAATAAATAAATAAATAAATAAATAAATAAATAAATAAATAAATAAATAAATAAATAAATAAATAAATAAATAAATAAATAAATAAATAAATCTTTTGGACACAAACTGGACTCTCATTTGACATCCGTGCGACCAAGCTGCGTGTTTTGTCATGTTTGCATTTCAGTGGTCGAAATAAAAACTGTTTTTCGTTGTGTATAAATAAAGGGCGATGAACTGCCCCGTAATGAGGACAATGCAATGACGGGATGTGCGCAATACTGAGATGTAGTCGATTTCCTTGTTTAAGCGAACCATTTCCGAACCATGGTCTAATGAATTATTATGCTATTCCCCGAAATCACGAAAAAAAAATGAATAATTGGTGTGGTACGTTTAAACAGCTCGCGAAAATGCAAACACCATGCAAAATACGTTCAGACCTGATTTGTTTTATCATTTGAAAGAGTAGTTCGCGTTTGTTGATTAAACGATCCGTACACATATAGGCAAGTATTACACAATATTGACCTCCAACATTGTCCGCGTACACTGGGTTTCATAAAGGCGTGAATTCGTTTTAAATAAACAAAATTATAAATGTTTATAAATTATAAATGGCTACTGAAAACAAATTGACCAATCACAAGTCTCAGTGGATGAATGCCGCACGTGTAAGACTTTACTGCTTTCTTTTAAATTAATTTCAGCGATCGAATCAATGTAATTTCAAGCGTTTTAAACACATTTGATGGGAACAATCTTTTTGCGTTCATGGTCGTAAAACAGACTCATTCCTCCATAAAACTCGGTATATAGTCTTATAAAGCCAGAGTATGTTTCTGTCCAGTGCCCGCGTCAGTTTTAACGGTGTGTGTCACAGCCTTTTTTTTTTGAGTTGTGCTAAAACATTGTAAAAATGAAACACAAAACGGTGAACACAATAATTAGCAATGCACGGTATTAGAATTGTAAATAACTGGGCTACAGATAACAACTGTTTGCTCAGCGTATCAATCTTAGTGATCACTGAGAGACAGTTAATGGTCTTGTGACTCATGTCTGTATACCATGTCGTGTATGGCTAGATCATGGCGGCTAAGAAAGCTGTAATGCTTTGTGTAATGTACATTACACCACAGTCCCTTGTGGAGGGACTGTGATTACACGATACTGGCAGTACGTATCTTTAAATTGGGGGAATCTCTACTCGACTCGGGTGAAGAGCGTATAAATATTGCATATTATAAGTCTTATAAGTCTTAGGATATATCCTTGCTTCGATGATAATTTACTGCTATTCATCCATTTACGGATAGAAGGACACTACATTATTTCAAAGACAACATTTATTTATTTATCTATTCTTTTATTTTATTTTTTATTTATTGGTGTTTTTCTTTTTCAATTTTGGCCCTAATGGCACACCATACAACGTTCATTGGCAAAATATATACATACAGTACGCTAATGCTGTCTTTTAAATGTTGCGACTCAGAATAAAGACTGGCAGATTATTAGTTATGTAATTGCTCTAGCAGCCATATACATTGACTACATTCATCTTGTTAATGGGGGTAAATTGAAGCATATCAAAAATCGGTACACTTCCAAAGTTGTATTATTTACAATAATTTATCATTCGTACATCAGTTGGCGAGTCAATTTCAGGACGCGTCACCGCTGTATTACCAACCTTCGCAAGTGATTTAACATGTGCACCATGTGTGAGAGCGACGAAGAATTATTTCAATTTTTGTTGCGAGAGTGAACAGGTAACGTTATTTGTCCAGCATGATTGTGAGAATCACGCGTCTTGTGATAATAAAGTGTTTAATACAGTTTGTATTACACTGAAATGCGTACTGATTGAAGAATAAATGTTCGTCTAAGATGGAAAAACGTGTCTATATTGTGTTTGAAATCTTGTTACAGATCTTATATAGAGTCGACAGAAATCATATACCTTGCTTTTTTTTCAAATTCCTTTCCAATAAAATAAATTTGCAAGCTGGAAAGTTGATTATTGGTATGTTAACAATATATAAAGGTTTCTTCTGATTTTTATCTTTTATTTACAAGCCAGACTGTGAAGGCGGTGACTGCACGCTCATTATGCACGCGCGTCAAGGGAGCGAATCACGTGACTGTTTCTTTTATTTTATGTGTAGACTTTGAAACGCGCGTCGCTCATACGTCGTTGTTTGCTTTGCGTTGTAAATCTTACGTAATAGAAAAGCGCTGGCACCGAAATGAGATTGAGGTAAATATAAAAAAATATAGTTACGTAAATACATTACAGGCTATAACGTGTGTATTACACACACGCGACACATCGCTCATGATTGCAATCAAGATGTCTATGCAAAGAACATGCTATGCTTAGGTTGTACTCCCCTGGAGAATCAAACTAATTGCCATCAATTGCTAGAAATTAAACTTACGATCTTGGATAGTCAAGTGGGATATGTTTAAAACAATCGTGCATATGTATATCTTTACCCGCATATTAAAACTAGAAATCCAAGGCACTAAGCGAAAAGTCCTTGCGTTCCAATGTAATAACAGTTTATTGCAAACGCATAAAGTCA